CTGGAGAACAACCAATTAAACGATTGGACTTGGGGCTGTAGAGATGTCTCAGCAGTTAAGAACACTGACTATTCTTGCAGAAGACCTAGGTTTGAATCCCAGCACCCACATGATAGCTAACAACTGTCTGTAACTCCAGTCCTAGGGGACCTGACAGCCTCTTCTGATCTCCGAGGGCATTGCACAACATGGGTGCACTTACCTACATGCAGGCAATACAAGCACACACATAAAATAAAAATAATAAATAAAATATTTTCAAAAAACAAGTGGACTTTTCAGAATAAAAGAGATCCCATCAGAGAACCAGTTTTTCTTTAATTATATTTTTAAGTCAATGGGAGGAAATATTTGATAGGCCTCATTAAAAATTCAAATTTGTAATCATTCAGAAACTCATAAAAGGAAAAAACTAATGTTTTGATTTCATATAAAACAGTATTCATAGTATCTAGAAAAACTTCAGAAAACAAACAAGACAGAAAATATTTTAGTCAAAAAATGATTTAAAGACAAAGGAAATTAACATTCTTTTTTATTCTTTGAAAATTTCATAAATACATACACTGCATCTTAATTACATCCACCCCCACTCCCTCCCTCCAATTCCCCCAGCCCGTTCCACAATACATCTTTCCTCCAGCTTCAAGTTCTCACTCTTAAAAAAATAAATAACCCTCTCCTTCACTGTCACCCATCCATATATGCAGGGCTGTGGCTTCGTCCACTGGGGCATGGGCAACCTGCCAATGGCCACCCTCAAAGGAAAATGACTCTCCCTTTAGTAAGTAGGCAACTCTAATAAGTAGACAATGATCAACTGCCAAAGCTCCTTAGCTAGGGGTGGAGCCTCGGAAGGCCCTCCCTTCTCTATGTTGTCTAGCAGTTTTTTGGGGTTTTTCGTACTCGCTATGTAGACCAGGCTGACCCTGAACTCAGAGATTCATCTGCTGCTGCCTCCCAGTTCTGGCTAGCATTTTGTTTGTTTGTTTTGGGTTTTATTTTGTTTCATTTTGTTTGTTTGTTTGTTTGTTTGAAACAGGGTCTCCTTGTTTCCCCACCTGACCTGGAATTCACTACCTAGACCAGGCTGGCCTCGATCTAACAAAAATATGCCTGCCTTTGCCTCCCAAGTGCTGGGACTAAAGGTGTGTGCCACCACACCTGGCCCATGCCAGCCTTTTAAACCCAAGAGAAATGTCTGTAAAATTCAGAGGGGACAACAGTCTGACATAAGATTACTCTCAGCCACTTTTCTGTTAAAGTACAATTTAGCAGGTAGAATTCTCAAACATTCAAGAACTAAGAGAACTGAATACCCTAAACTTTTCCATGAAAACAAAACAAAACAAAACAAAAATGATTCAAAACAGCCAGGTGCTATGGGGCCCACTTTAATCCCAGTGAGGGGGGAGGGGGAGAGGAAGAAAAAAGAAAGGAAAAGAAGAAAAGAAGAAAAAGGAATTCAAACCAAAGAACTAAAAGGACTGAATGATTGAATGACTGAAGTAGCATTTAGCCCTAAGTCCTTGCAAGGAATAGAATTATGGTTGTTGAACAAATTAGGGCCTTGTAAACCCTGACAAAGTAAACCGTTATCATCAATAACAGAAGCTACAGACAGCAAGTCGGAGGAAAATGAGAGGGAACCTCCATGAAAGAATCGAGAAGACTGAATCCCACATATGTACACATGAAATGATGAGGGGGAAGAAGAGATGGGGGAAGGAAAGAGAG